GACTCAGGAGGTACAGACCCTGCGGGTTCACATTTAGGGGGGAACTTTAAAAAAAAAAATATATATATATATTGTGACGTACGAGAATGGGATTCAGAGGGAGAATTGGATGTGTCAGGTTCGGTGGTGCAGTAGTAGCACATCCGGCAGGCAATCAGGAGGTTAGAGTTCAATTCCAGGCCATTCCATAACTTTCTTTGGTCTTTATTTTGCCTTCCATGTCTCATTACTCATTCCCCTTCCATAACATTATTTTTGCTTGAGCAAAATGGAGAGATATGGAAAGCTGAAACCTGGCATGGACGTGCCTAACGAGACGATGAGTTCAGGAAGAATGCAAAAATTTAGACCGATGCCGTGGACGCATATTTTTTGGGGCCGACGTTTTCAAGTAATTTTTTGTTCTGGCGTATTGAGCTGGTGTGGAAAGATGAAACTTGGTACATAACTATCTATTAGGATGATGCAGAAAAATTCAGACTTTGGAACTAAATGCCATGGATGCACAAATTTCAAATGGAGATGTTTTCAAATATTTTTTTTTTGCATTAGCTAAACTGATGAACATGGAAAGCTGAAACTTTGCATGAATGTTTCTACTAAGACAAGGAGTATTAAAAATAAATTTTATCTTGATAAATCCCCTGGGGGAATTTTTTCGAGGGGCGATGTTAAGAAAAGAAATTTCAAGTGGCGAATTGGACAGAAATGGAAAGGTGAAACTTGGCACACGTATAAGTGACACGATATTAATGAGGTGAGTTAGTATTTAGCTTCCATGGTGCATCCCCTTCGGGGCATAGCTTATGGGTGGGTTGGCTATTCCAAACAAATTTTTTCACCAGCGAAAAGGGTAAACGTATAATATTGAAACTTTGCATGTAGTTCACTGAGGATGGATTTCAGTAATAAAAAAGCTACTTTTCGGTTAAAACGTCGGGAGGAACATATTTTGCAAAAGTCGTATTTTCTTGAATTTCCTGATCCAGCAAAACAGATGGCGCTAGTTAAAATTGGCAAAGAAATACCTGATGCATAACTGAGTAAATACAAAATTCTACTTTTATTATATATTGTGTTGGAAAGAAAGTCTTGCAACACCCGGCGCAAATTTGTCAAAATTTTATAACTTTATTGAAATGCAATTTCAGTCTACAATGTAATGACCATTGTTGTCTATGACATGTTCCCAACGCACGGGTAACTGCTCGATGCCCTTTGCCCAGAACTCTGGCGATTGCGAAGCGAAGAAACGGCCGACATCATTTTCGAGCTGTGCTCGATCGTCGAAGGCCTTGTCCCGCAGGTGATTCTNGAAGGGGCCAAGTCCGGAGAATACATTGGATGGGGTAAAACTTCCCAGCCCAGTTCCGAAATCGTCTGGCGAGTCATCTTCGCAACACGTGGACGAGCGTTGTCATGCAGAAGGAGAACTTTGTCGCGTTTGGGACGCTCTTTTTGAATGACACCAGGCAACTTCTGAAGTCGAGCAGCGTAGACAACGGCAGTCATGGTGGTACCGGTTGGTAGGAACTCATAGTAGAACATTCCTTCTGAATCCCACCGATCCCACCAAGTAAGCATTCTTTATGTCAGAAATACCTTTTCGAGCCCACTAGGAGTTTCTCAGAGAGGCAAATAATTATATTTGTAAATGCCTGCTATAATTTACACTTGTTCAGTCCACCTTCCAATGAAGCATGCAAATCAATTAAGTGTACGTTAAAAAAGTGACTCTCAGGCATGGCTATGATTCAGGGAAGCCACATACCGTACAATCCGTACTAGCATCTGCCCTGTTCAACCTCTACATCAGTGACATGCCCGCGAAAACGTCCCGCAAATTTGCGTATGCCGACGACATAGCGCTGGCAACGCAAGGTAGCACACTCGAGGAAACGGAAGCCACTCTAAATAACGACCTAAATGAGATGGAAGATTACTTCCGTCAATGGCGTCTCTGTCGCAACCTGCAAAAGACCGCAGTTACAGCATTCCACCTCCAAAACTCCGCCGCCAACAGAACGCTAAAGACACAGTTCTGCGGTCAAAGTGTCCAGCACGATCCAAACCCCCGCTATCTGGATATAACACTGGATAGGAGCCTGACGTTTTGGCAACACCTTAAGAAACTCAGAAATAAGCTAGCTAGCTCCCCATGCAGAAATCCGGCGAGACATGGCGACTGTGCGCGAGTACAAGATTATTGCCAACCCGTCCCTCCCGATTCATCGCGACATCGATGAGACCATCCCGTCCCGCCTAAAATCAAGACATCCTTTCTGGACAGCCGCAAGAATCCTGCACGACCTGGGGTCGTGCACAGAAGAACGCTGGCGAGAAGCCTGGTCTCGCGTGGACGTGAAAAATAAGAACCTCATCGACGATCCATCAGCTGAGGTACCAGGTGTCGCACTCCCAGGCCGCGAATGGGTGACCTTAAATCGCATACTGGCGAGAAGCCTGATCTCGCGTGGACGTGAAAAATAAGAACCTCATCGACGATCCATCAGCTGAGGTACCAGGTGTCACACTCCCACGCCGCGAATGGGTGACCTTAAATCGCATCCGGACTCATCATGGTCGTTCCGGACACATGATGCACAAGTGGCGTATTAAACAATCGCCAACGTGCGAATACGGCACTCCAATCCAAACTATGGAGCACATCATCAACGAGTGCACATTGTACTCATTTCCCGGCAGCACCAAGGATATACACGCAGCATTACTAAAAACTATCGACTGGATTTCAAAGATTAAAATCAATTTTTAATAGTCGCTATGCCCATACGAAAGATGATGGTTTTTAAATAGTTTGGGTTATTATCGGCGATTGAAATGATGTCTTGGGCATGCAGCACTCTGGCTTGTTTTTGATCGTCGTCCAATGAGTGCGGAACAAATCGCGCACAGATTTTTCGCCGCTGCAAATCTTCGGTCAAAATGCGGTAAACTTGTGATTTACACATTGTACTCATTTCCCGGCAGCATCAAGGATATACACGCAGCATCACTAAAAACTATCGACTGGATTTCAAAGATTAACATCAATTTGTAATAGTCGCTATACCCATACGAAAGAAGAAGAAGATTCATGAATCTGCTTGACAGGGTACTTACGTATATATACGTCATTCATGAATCTGCTTGACAGGGTACTGACGTATATACACGTCATTCATGAATCTGCTTGACAGGGTACTGACGTATATACACGTTTTCGAAATTTTCCGCCTTGTGGCACTGCCATATATATACGTCAGTGATTCATAGCCTGTAGAAGCATGCTGCCATAGCTTAGCGACATATCAGTCTTCTTTTCAGTGATAAAGAGATGCCAGTGTCAGAACAGCTGATATTTTTCTCGAGTACTGTCCTCCTCTTGACAAACATGGCGTTTATAAAGGAAGGCAGAGTTGTTGCATCAGACTAAATTGCAATTTTAATTTTCAGTAGCGAGTCTAGTGGTTAATCGAGTGATAAAGATAATGTAGCAATGCCAAAATTCCCGAGTTATCTTGTGAAGATATGGAATCTTGGGGCCATGATTTGATTGTACACCTGCAGCTTCGAAGAGTAAAGTGAATGATCTGGTATGGAAGGGGAAGACATTAATAAACGTATCGGCAAAGTTTTATCAACAAACAATACAGAAATACAGTGGTTGGAGTGACGAAAGTATGCTTATTTTTACAGTCTGTGGTTTGTTGAAAAAAAAAAAACCCACCCAGGCAGCGCAGGTTATGCCTTAAAAACACACCCGTCGAAGGGTTAACAATCTGGTTAGATGGTTAGCATTTGAATAAAATAATTAACCAAAAAACAACTCGGCTAATAAAACTCAGCTTAGACTTTACCTAATGGTGCAGCAGTAGATGCACATGTTTTAAAACAGGGCACTTGTAGTTACTTTTGTTTCATTTCAGATTGTTTTCAAACCTCAAACCTACAGTTATGGGTTCCTTTGAGCACCCCTTCCCATTCTAGAAAAGGTGCAACATAATCATCGATGCCATGATTTAAGGGCCTCAAAATGAGCCCTTTTAACATAAACCTTTACGCTAGAATGTAATATTTATGAGTTACATGGCAGGCTATTTCTCCTGTGAAGGCAAATGACATTCACAGACTGTCTGAGGATTCTGAAAGTCAAATATACAGGGTGCCCCATAAGTCACTATATCATTTTTTTAAAGTGACATCAAATTTTAGTAAAATTTTATGTCATTGGTATACTGGAATGTATATATAATTGGACTTACAAGTCAATGTGTGATAAAATGAACCTCTATGTAACAAATTTTCCTTATAACTAATATTTTTAGCCTGTCCCTTTGAGTTTTTTTTATATCAAGCATCAGGTTAATGAACATGATTTCTCAATTCCTGTTGAATTCAAGCAATTCCAATAAGGCCAACTACACCTCATGGCTGAGATTATGAGTAATGGACTGAATGTACAAGTACTTTGCACAAATTATGAGTTTCAAGATTTAGATAGAACATAGTTTCTAAGATCTCATTGACCAAATCATGAATAAAATCAATCACAGGTGTATATTTTCTCAAATCTTGAATAGAAATGGTTTTCCCTTGCATAACCTGAACACAATCTTTTAAATTAGTTTTACAAGAAAAAACTCCAATGCTACCAATCTTACCTTCCATTTGCTATGACCAAAATTTGAAAATATATAAAAAACTGATTGAAAGGTTCCTATTTAATGCCTGAATCATGAATATTTTAATGAATTCACAGATGAAAACATCATAAACAGAAATGTAAATCTCATCCTAATGCCATAAATTGACTTGTAATGCAGAAGTGTCAACAAAAGTCACTATATTTTTGATGAACTAACAGCCCTAGTTAGAACTTTTCCAATGACCATTTCAATGGAGGTTTAAAAATCTCAATATGCATTAGATAATTATTCTGATGAATCATTCACAGGACATGTTTTGAGCCAGTGCATTTCCTTCTTAAAATGGTGATTCAGTGAGGCTCATCAGAGATCACAATGATCTAAGTGATAGAGAAGCAGAAAGGAAAAAGTTATGCAAAAAGCAAATAGCTCACCATGGAGGAAGAGAATGCTGTTCTATCACAGTTCGTCATGAAAATTATTTCCCTCTTTAGCACTTGAGTGCCTTGGTACAGGAAAGCCAAAGAAGGAAGATGGGAATCCTATGGCATCTCTGTCCCTCTTCACAAATGCAGAGAAACTAGATACACAGTTCCCAATGAAGTGATTGGACAGACCAAGAATCACCAAGTCTAGTTGAGGATCTGGTGGATCCAATTTGTGGACTGACACCTGCAAATAATCAGAAGTCCATATAATATAGTAAATGAATATATATTTACCTGCATTTCAAATTGCTTTCAAGGTGATGAAACAGAAGGGTATAACATAAAAACCATGTCAGTTACTTAGTCCAAGGTGTCAGTGTTAATTTAAAATGGTGAAATGCTCTCACCTGCATTTTTTCCAGGGCCTTTGAGAGTTCAGGAATATAGTGATTATTGTCAGAGGCCACAAAAACTGACTGGGCATTCACTTGCTTCACAGCCCTCTTCACATGTTTCACAATTGTGCTTAAAGGTGGAAGACACATCTCTTGGGTAGTGGGACCCTTATCATTTCGGTAACCCACACACTGGGGAGATGAGAAGAGGGTTTGGGATTTGTCCACATACGAGCAGGCTCGTTCCTAAGAAAATAACATAGCACAAAACACAAAATGCAATAGTTTGACATGTTTAGGGCAATTTTCTGAGATTTAAGTGCACCAATTTGAAACGAGTTTTGCAAGACTGCAGTCAATGAAAGGCCTCCCATGGGATTTATAGCAACTGGTAGGATATAGATCTTCAACTGGAGTATGATGATAAAGAAAGAATGAGAGATGGGAGTGAATCTCATACAGCTACTGGAGGAATGCCTGCATGACTCAAGGTCATGAACTACTGTAAATCTCAATAGCATGGATCTCTATGAAAGTTCTGGAGCTCTGTCAAATTGGAAAAAAAATTACTGTGACTTATTAAGGGTGGATCTTGGAAAAATAAGTGTCCAGGAAGTGACACTCTATGAGCAACTTGCTTCACTATATTTAATCCATGAAAGTCATTCTAAGATATGGTCAAATGATCAGTAGGGGATCCCAGAATGCTGATAACCTTGCCCTGCTAGTGTCAGATTTTGTTTGCAAAAGAGCAGTATGGAGTATTCAATTGAAAAATGAGTGAAAATAGTGGTGAGGCATTGATAAAAAAATTTGTTGTCAATGTGTGACAAATTTAAATAATTTAATCACTGTGCAGCTTCACCTTTCAGGGACAAAATCAAGAGGTTGATCAAGAAATTCCATGAAACTGCTATTATGCAAAATGTGCCAAAAGCAAAGTCAACCTGCTTCAGCAACTGATTTAATTGCAGAAAACATGATTTCCACTCACTTTTTGATTGAGTACTCCACCCAACAGTTTGAAAACAAACTTTAAGAAAGTCTTATGAATGAAGGATAAAATAATCAGTATTCCATAATCCCTAACAGATCATATGACCATATCCTAGCGTGATTTTCACGAAGTTTAAGAAATGAGGCTAGTTGCTCAAAGAGCATCACTTTCTGTACACCCTGTACAAACCTATAGGCCTCTCATGGGCCATTTATCAGGTTGTAAAGGTGAAATTTAGACATTTCGATTTTTAACTCACCAAAACTAGATTATTTCTGCACAAAACATTCAATTCATTCCTCCTGTTCTGTGTTGAGGTTGAAAGACAGATAAAATACGATGAAATAATTGTTCTAAAAAATAATTATTTATAGGACCAATTATGGAGTAGAGGGCTAGGTGATACAAACATCCTTCTCTTGAGGAGCAATGTACTATAAGTTAAGAGTTTCAACACCCAAGATCAACTTTTGGATTTCATTGGAAAGGTACACCTTGATTATGTCTTTTCATCTGCAAGGAAAAACCAACAGAAAGCTCAAGACAAGCAAGAACATGCTTTCAACATTTCAGGCTTCACACAGGATTTAACATTGAAAATTCCCCCTCTTTAGGAGCATATCTTCCTCTTCATACATCAGTATGTCAAAGCAAGAAATAAAAGGGAACTAGAGGCTCTATAGGTTCTCAAATTGGAAGAAAGTCCTTAGCCTTAGCTCTCCTGTGTATCATGCATCAATTAGTCAAAATCATTGGCTAGTCCAGAAAGACTTACCCAATCAATTCCATTGCGCAAATGTATTCCCACATAAGCTCCTCTTGGTAAATGTGTTCTCTTGAAGTCACTTCCTTTCTGCACCATCTCTTCTGTCCATTTAAAATATTTCTGCAGATGTATGTTTTCCTCCTGGACTGGGAAGCTAGCAGGAGCTCCAACAAATGCCAACACTGCATGGAGATGTTTGCATCATGAGCATCATAACATACTAAATCAGACATACCAAGTAAAAGCATTTAAACATGTATCTATACTTGGATACATCAGAATCAGATGGCAGAGGGTGTTTTGTCAAAAAGACTATGATCCTTCTGACTATGGTTCTGCAAGAATGATGCCATGTAGCATACTTTCACCATATTGTCTTCAATATTTAGCTGCTCCAAGATTGCTCATTGCCAGAAATACAACCATGAGGCAGCTTGCGACAATCAGAAAAATAAACTGGCAGCCAATGAAATTGCAATACCATGAAGAAGTTACCCTATCACATTTAAATGTAGTAAAAAAAGATGGATCACTAATGTGATGATTACACTTACAAGACCACCACCACCAGGGGCCTGTTCCATGGAATTTACAAGTTCTAAAAGTAACAAGTTACAAGTAATTACAAGGGTCATGTCGTAGTTGTGTGAAGGGCCAGCAGGACTGGCTGGAAGAGTTAGACTCGGAGACACGACCTTTGCAAATACTAGTAAATTGTAGAACTTGTAAATTCCATGGAATGGGCCCCTGGTAGAGTGAGATACACTCAGCAAAAAAGGGATAGCATGCATTGCATTCCCCTTGAGATTTTCTCAAAAAGAGTCCCTCACTCCAAAATGACAAGTAGACTACTTAGTCTTCATGAGCAAGCACCATAAGATTGAAGAAGTCAAAGATTCTATCATTCATCATGTCAGGGCTACACTTCAGCCAGTTCTAGTAATTATCTGAACACACTCTTTAACCTTTACATGCTGAACATTTCCAAATGCAAACAGAACATGTCAGCAGAAAAAATTGCATTTTGCCATATTCCAAAAGCATGGAATCTTCCTTTGCACTCCAATAAAAGGAGTATTCCATGGTATTCAAATATAAGAATTTATGAAAATTTCCTCATAAATATTGTTTTCAAAGGTAACAAATTTAGCATTTTTCCATTTTCATGCTCTGGTTGAATTTGGAAACATTCGACATGTAAAGGTTAATCCCATGATGCTTACAAAGGTAAGTTTAAAAAAAATTGCCACAATTGTCATGGAACACAATGTTTCCTGTCAGCACCAAGTATTCATAGTTTTCCCAATTCAATATCAAGTTAATTAGGTTGAACCCTTTGACTGCTGAAATTTAAATACTGGATGGTCACACTGCTGGCACAACTTGCAACCATCATTTACATACAACCATCCATTATACTATACAGCTACAGTTAGAAAGTTAATCTACATGGAATTTGAGGTAACATCAAAAGAACTCAGGAAAACTCCTCCTTGATTCTGTCTCATGTATCATGACATAAGAAAAAGTCACCAATAGATCTATCTACAAGGTGTTTTTTGGCAATGCAACCCATGAAAAAAGCATAAGTTCCATCATAATAAAGCTAACAAAGTTGAAGTTTGCCATGAACCAGAATTCAACCATGCACAACTCACCTTTCTTGTAGCAAATGCTGGAATTGATCCCCATTCTTCTCTATGCACAATTGAACACCATGCTGCAAGTTGTCCAGATTTACAGCATAGTACATCACCAGGAATGTCCCTAATGTTCTCATATAGCTGTAGAGTGCTGCGAGGATTGTTGTGGTAAACAGTTTCCTTCAAGTAAACCCATTTTTGATGAATCCATTAATCAATTCAATGAGATTAAATTCACTCAAGATTACTTCCCAAAAGACAATGCCAGATGCCACCTCTCAGAATTGAGCATGGAACACATTCAAACGAGACAGAATCATACCAAAAGATGCATGGCTACCAACATCTCTTGATCTCATACTACCAAATTATTTTCATTGGGGTTACTCAAAGTATACTGTTCAACAACAATCCTCACACCATTCCACAGCTCAAGGAGAATATTAAAAACAGCGTTTGGGAAATTCCTATTTGTTGTGCTTTTGACAACTTTCAGTGACATGTTCAATTGTGCATAGAGAACAATGGGGATCAATCCCAGCATCTGCTGCATTAAAAGCAAGTCATGCATGGTTGTATCTTGGTTCATGCCAAATATCAACTTGCCAGCTTTATTATGTAAGGAATTTATGCTATTTTTTTGTTGGTCACATTGATTAAAAAACACCTTAAAAAATCTTGTTACAACGAATTTCATTACAAACAAAAATTTCAGCACAACCAAAATATTTTCAAGTTCTGGCTGATGGCCCACACTAGTAGTACCTTGTAGATCTCATTAGAGCAAAATTTTTGTTCTTGCAGAATTCATTGTAACAAGATTTGACCTGTAATCATTTGTTAAATGGAAGCAACCATATCCTGAGAACTTGTTGATATTCATATGAGGGTGGGTTTTCTCAATCAAAGGTTAATAGTAAGGGGCTGCAGGCAACAAAAAATAAAGTAGCTAAATATGGGAGGAATGAATTAGGAAAAAAAAAATCGAAATATTCAGAAAAGTTTCATTGAGACACGTGAGTTAAGGAGGAGATGAAAACCTACATTTATGTGTCCTTACTGGTGTTCAAAGTCACCAGGCAGTGAGGTACAACTTATGATCATGAAGGGGGTCAACACAGGTACACGATGCTCTGAAACCAGTCTACAAGTTTAAAATTTATGCATATTTAAACACCGTGCTAAAGAATGCAATAAGCAAAAAAGGAAAAGAATAGGCCCTAGGCCGATATTAATTTGATAACACCTTACTCTTACCTGGCCATTCCTTAGGAGGATACTTCTCCTTCCATTTCTCAAGATTGTCCTGCCTGTGGATGTCATAGTGAAGAGGCTGGAATATTTCTGATCTGTCAAAGTTGACATTGATATGGTCCCAAAATGGACCAAAAGGATTGCCATCCTTGGCATTGCAACCATCTCCATCGGGACCCTTTCTTGCCATGTAGCAGAGAACTGTAATAGTTACAGAAAATGTTAAGCCTACTTTCTTTTTCTCCAATAAACCTTTTCACCATCACATCAAGCTTTACAGGCTTGGAGAATGACTGAACTTCAGCATGAAGCAGCTTAACCCTTTGGCTGTTTGCCCGAGTACATACTCAGGCTTATGCAGTAATAGCATGGGAAAGTTCTTGGGCTCAGAACATTCACTGTTCCTAGGTTACTTCAAAGTTATTTATGCATATAACAGCTATCTTCAATAGTTATCATGATATGAAATTATCTTACATAAAAAATTGTTTTCAAACAAGCAGGGCTAATTTTTATATGAAAATGTATCAGCCATCCCCCTGTGTTATAACAGTCAAAGGGTTAATAGCCCCACCCACATATGAATTGCATGAAAGACTTCCTTGAGTAGATTATGCATACAATTACCTTGCTAAGGGTGCAATGAGCTTCACTCTTGTAGGATTCATTGTTTTTATCCTAGTAATTACTATTTTTCCTATTAAACTAGGAATGGAATGGAATGGGGAAATACAAGGGGCATGCTAAAAGTTCTGGAACTCATAGGCTTGCATCTTGAACTCCATGATTTGGAGATGCAACACTTGTACCCTAGCTGATTGCACAGACCAGTAAGATCTACTTGACTCTTCATATGGCTACGTGGCATGGGATCTCTTGAAACCTATCTCAAAAAGTCTGAATCAGAAACAACAGAAAAACTTACAGGGTGGATATTGGAATCATGCATTACTGAAGAATACAGTCTACATGTTGTAAAAGAAATAGTGCATTTTGCTCGTGACTACCTTGTGACCTTGAGAGTGTCTCTGTGGTATGTAGAACTATTTTCATATTTTCAAGGTTGTGCAAAGGGAATGTCACCTTTGGGGCCTCCTGCTACACCATCTCAATACCAATGTCCACACAGTTCCAGCTATTCAAATTAGCTTTCCATGAGCAAAGAGTCAAGCTGATACCACATACCCCAATGGTTTGGATCTTACTCTCCATGGGTTTTTGCTTTTTCTTTCAATTCTTCCTTGGGACTTGGTAGTCATCACTTCAGGACAACATATAGAGCAATGTGGGCATCCAAGGACATCCTCTTGACTTTTGATCAAGGAATTCGTCAATTGCTTTCAACAATGGTTTGAGAAGATATAATAAGCATCTTCTTATTGATGAAAAGCACTCTGAGAGGGAGTGAACCTATCATGGAAACATAATGTAGTTGTTTTCCAATTAAGTCAGACATCCTTGTACTTGACTAAGACACACATGGGGCACTTCCCATGAATGCATGGCTCATGAATCAAGTGATATACATCATCATGAGGTATGTCATTTTAAAAACTTTTAGCATGTCCTTTGTATAGCATAAATATTGCTCAGCTTGCCAATGGGTGCCATGTAGTGCAAAGGATACTTTTTCTACAGCATTCTTCCATTCTGAAATACCCTTTTCACCAAACCCACCCATCAATATCCTAGCTGGTTTGAGGGTGCTCTGGCTCATTCCTAATTCTGTGACAGTATGCTCCTCCAAAGGTTCCACTTCATATTGTATTTCCTTTCAAATGACAAGAAAGGAGGCCACCGACTTCAGTTTTTACAACATGTATGACTTATTGTGCAAAAGATATTTCAGATTGAGAAGAGAAACAATATCGAAGAGTTTCTTTTCATAATATTACTGCCATTAGCATTCACACTCAGAATTAACAGATAAACTATTCACACTCCGATTTGATACACTTAGAGAAACAAAGAATATTGCATCTCTCATTATGGGAGGCAAAATAATAGTCTTGGATACAAGATATTCATGTATTTAAGATCCTTAAAAAAAAGAGAGAAAACTAACTTGGCAATGATGGATTTGGCATAATTTACTTCAGCTATTCATGGGCAATAGGTGAGAAGAGACATTCTCCAAAAAAAAGAAAAATGGCACAGAAAAGCATATAACATGCTGGTTACTGCATTACATATCATATCCAAAACTGGATAGAGCACTTGCTAACCCCTAGGTCAATATATGACACTTTCCCATTCTGTATATTTTTTCCTTCATAAAAATGTCATTTTTCATAGACACTGAAATCAGGATTTCAAAAACAGATGAGAGAAATCAGGTTCAGGACTTTTATGTTCCATACTGCCTGAAGTGTCACACTCATAAAAAATTTGTCTTATGAGTACTTCCATTTCACTAGTCTGTCCACAATAGTACATGAAAACTAACAATGCCCTTTACCAAATATACCTGAAAGTCTATAATGTGATTAAAATATTTTTTGAAAAACTCATAGGCACTTTCTCTCTGTTGCAAACTTTCCCTTTAGGGTTTTTAAACGATAGTTTCTTGCAAAAAACAGTCACCAGTTTCTTAAAAGCTGGAATTAATTTGTTTATACCAGGAGTCACTGGAAACCTAGATCAGAGCAAACACATCACTAGCTCATCATTCATCTTATATCTTTCCCATTTCTTTGAACAGGAAAATTTGTTAATGTCTATGCCAATTATGGTCACGCATGAAGGGCTCCCTTTTTCAGTGAGTGACTCATTAACAACTAATTGTACCAAAGTGATACTTCTTCCAAAGATACTTCACTTCCATTCTAGTAATATTTTTCTATACTTATGGTCAGATTCACTCTTGCCTTCACTGGCCAAAGCCTTTGTGAAGTTGTGTGAATAAATATTCACACAACTTTATGAAGTGGAGATCAGTAGCATAGATTGGGGACTTGTACAGAACCAAAAGTGGAATGGGACTCTTCCATTTTCTGTTTACCACTACTTCTGTCTGATTGTCATGATACAGGAGTATGGTGAATCATCACTCATGTTCCAATTTCAAAGTATCTTCCTCTCCATGCTGAACTGCAAAATCTCACCTAAGCCATGGCAGCAACAATTAGTCCTACATAAGCCAATAAATTTTCTACAGAAATCAAGTATACTTTCTTAGACACCACCATAAAAGGTGTATTCTTACTTGGTTTAATCTCTCTATGACATAGGGTCTCCTGACTTTTATCTCATGATGCTTGGGGAAAGTTTCCTTTCACTCTCCCAGAATTAGATTTTTCCAAAGTCTAGCACAACCCTTATTCCCATGTATTGAACTAATGAAGTCAAATTTGAACATACAGGAACATTTCTATGCAACAAAAATGAATATGTACAGGTATATGCAGGATATGGCATGAGTGCCCCTCATGGATAAGTCTCACATGCATTCAGTCAAGAGATCAGTAAACAAGGATTGACTCAAACCTGCCCTCTCTCCAGGAGGCCAAATTACAGGAGCTATGGACCTCATGAATTCAGCCATCAGTATAACACGATGATATCCCTGAAGGGGTGCAACTTGGAACCAGTCATCAAAGGGAACCATTACCTGCAAAGCATTGGGAAAGTCAGTCTTCTTAAATCCCCAAAAAATGACAATAAAATTAAAGTTTGGAAAAAGGTATAAACAGGTCCTTTTATACAGGGGGATCTGCAGAAATGAAATAATATTTTTGCAACCTTATATACCATGCTGGGGACTTTAAAAATGATGCCTTCTACAGAATAACCAAATGTTTTCCTTGTCTCACATCTAAATTTCTCAGTTTGCTAAATTTTACACTTGAAAACCAATGATTCATTGATTTCTTTTTCTTTTTTTTTTTTAGATAGAAAGCTAAAATTCAGCAGGTATATCAATTGATGCTCTGCCTTTTGAGAGATATAGAGATTTTTTGCCTTCACCTTGCCTCACCTAAAAAAAAAGCAGAGCTCCTTGAGATTCTTAGGAATTAATGAGATAGCAGATAGCACAGTGAAATTTCTTTCCAATGACTTATATGTACCTTTTAAATGTCCTCCAAATTTTTCTTCATTTTTCTCTAGCCATCTTATCATGAGGGAATGGCAACTCAAATTTTGTTTTAGCACAGAAATCATATTGGTGAGAGGGTGGTTGATTCACATTGTGTACAACATTCTTGGGTCAGAGCTCCTCTATTAGCCATGAAAGTGCTGCTGATGGGGTAGGGCAAGACTTTTGCAAGAACTTTTTGGTAAGAGATGAAAGAAAGGTATGCCTATCATGCAATTCTTAAAAGGGGTAGTTTATCCCTTTATGCATATTTAACCACACTACCCTGAATCTACCTATTCTTCCACAAGACTGTTGTCATGCAATGTCTAGTGTTTTATACTGTTAGAGGAGGAATCTCTTTTAAACCACCAAGACCCAATGGTTCTCATTTACCCTTATTTGAGCAAGGGAGGGTCATTTTTATCCACAACTCACATTTATGTTGTTTATGTGTACTGAATGATGGCAAAAAAATTATGATAAAAAATTATAATTGCTGGTATGTATATAGTGATTGTTGGAAAGTTACATAGGTGTATCTGTTTGATGTTATCAGAACTGGCAACTCACACAAAACTGCAAGAATTTTGAAAAAATATGCTTTTCTTGTTTTGCATTACCTTGGCCAAGTAAGGGTTAAGGCTACTCAGTATTTCAGTAAAGTCAAAACACTACTGCGTATCTGAGTCCCAGTACAGGAATCTGAGCTTAGTCATCATGGACAGCAAAATTGTAGGTATTAAATGAGAAAAGATATCAAGTGGAAGGAATAATTATTGTGGCATAGAAAGATACAATGTCAATTCCTAGCTAAAACAGAAACAGAACCAAATGGTACAATATATCAGGGTTAGAATAGGACAGGAAAAGGAACCATACTTCCTGAGTGAGTGAGACAATGGATCATTCACTGAATGATCCATTGTCTCACTCACTCACTTATCCAGTCATGACTTCCAGCTACAAGCTGATTGCTAAATACAGCTGATACCCTTCACTTTTCTTTGAGCCTTAGTGTATTTCAACTACAGGTACAAGGGGGTGTGCCCTGTAGGGCATCAGTTTAGGGCAGGGATGTGCAACCCGTGGCCCACGGGCCGCATGTGGCCCGTGGACCTACTCCTTGCGGCCCGGTAATGCATAATGGGATAACAGATAAGTTTCTCTGCAGCCAAAGGCCCACCACAACTTTGGTCATCCCTTAATAACAAGAAATAGGCTGAGTCCTTTCACTTCCTTCTAATTTTTCCTCATGTCAGCGGTGCTACATGCATATGTCCCGAGGAAGAAGGTTCTCAATGATGGAATTTCCTATGGGCAAGGAGGAGGTAAGGATCATCGGCCAATCAGTGTGACCTTATGCCCTCATATGCCCTGAGGACAAAAGAGGGGAGCCTTTTCTTTTTGCATTCTGTGGCCCACATCAAGAGTCACACATTTCCATGCGGCCCACTGCCGATAAAGGTTGCACACCCCTGGTTTAGGGGCACTTGGAAAATCAATCTGACCTAAGCTTTGCCAAAACACCATGGTAATGAGAACTTTGTACACCAGTTCAATGTTTCCATAGTACAAGATAGCCCTAGATCTCATAACTTCCTTCTCTTAAGTTGCCAAAACATTTTAGTAGGTTTTTTTCCTAAGGATTTATTGGATTAAAAAAATAGGGCTGCTATCATATCAATTATGGACTATAAAATGGATCAATTACATTTTAAGCATCACATAATTCCTCTTCAAATATGAAAAATCATAAAATTCTGCATGGAATAATATAAAGAGAGTATGCTAAATCCTTTAATATCACCTTATCCAATCTAATTAATCTTCAGTTTCATTTCTTTGGCAATGAAAGAAAATATCCCTACCTAGCCTTCAATAATATTCATTAGAAATGAGATTTAGGTAGGCCTAATTGGTGAAAACTGATTGATTCATCCATATGACATCCCCAAATAAAAAGAACTGTTAACTAAGAAATATTGCATTGGAGACTGAAATGGTCCCAGTGCCTTCTAGAGAGCTTATCTTCATAATGGTACATCCATATTGGATGTAAACCAACTGGTAAAATCATTGAGATCAAATGTACATGTTCTTCTGTTCATTACATCTAGTGAATATCAAGAGAGTGGAAGCATCATCACTGTGAGATGAAACAGTTTTTACAGTTGCCACCTCAAATAGTTCAAAACTGAAGCATGACTATGGACGTAACTGAGTCTTTCTGACTGAAGTCACTATTTACATCAGAAATGACATAAAAATGAATTGACATAATTTCAAACAAGGTCAACAGAATAGAATATTTTTGTATAATCATGATCATGAGGTTGACTACTAGGATATGGGTCATGAATGACAGTAGTTACTCTTAGGTAAATGACATCAACAGAAACAGATATTTTTTTTATTGAGATGGAGATATTTTGCAAATGTGTAGTCATGTACTGAATACATTTTGGAGTAGGTCAACCAGTGGGCTTACCAGTAGACCTACCTGGATGAGCAGAGATAATCTACAATGGATGTGTGCCAAGAAAATGTATGAAGCATTCTTTCAATAGAGAGCAAGTTCTTTGGCCATGTGGAAATAGAAAAGACAAAAAAAAACTCCATTAGCATAAGAAATGCATCTCAAGCACCTTTAGAAAAGAATTTTTTTTTTTAACTAATAAGTTTCCAATGGGGCAAGACTCAAAATTAGAAAGGTAAGTTGTAATACCTATTCATTGTTCACATACCAAGAACATACAAGTATTTCTCATTTTGTGCCTTGGGTTTTATCTATCTTCTATAATGCATACTTATACTGTATTCCCTAGAAAGGGAAAACAGCTCATTCCAGGAAATTGTAAATTCTAATCTGTAAGTTACAGAGCAAGTTATAGCATGCCTTAACAGTAAAATAAGAAATACTCACTGATGGTGACTCATGATGCTTTGGTGAGCGGTGGACAATCCAATGAGGAAGCACCAAAGTCCTGTTCAAAGCTTTTGCAAAGGCCAAGCTACCCAGGAAGTGATCAGCTTGATTCCCAAATCTGCCTGTTAATTTAAAAGTGCAGAAATATAAGACACAGGACCTATTCATACAAGTAAAGGTGTCTAAGTTATTTGATAAAAACAAAGTCCAATGTCAACTGATTCAGAAACACCCCACTGAACCATTTGAATGGAACAGCATCTTCTTAGGACATAGACTTATGGTAACCTTAGATAGCATTCCTTCAATTGCATCTCACATGTTTCTTTGAAGCCAGAATCTTCTTATCTTGGCAAAATAATACCCAATATTTTCATATTCCCAATGCTGATATGAAAGGAGATAGTGCTTACCCATGCAGGGGCAGTATAGGATATACCCATTTTCATCTGGGGAACATTCTTCATCAGGTCTACTGTGCTCACACCTTCCCATTTGCAAGTGATGGAATATAACACCCACAGCAATAAGTACCATGAAATAGAATTTCATGCTTAAAGTGGTGATAATGCTCCATATAAAACCTGGCTTTTCAACATCAAGTGGTTTAAGTTAATCAATTCTATTTCAATTTCCTACATTCACATTTTACAGCATCCAGTTGATAGCTTAAAGAAAGGCACTTGCTATGGATTCCCTGGCTATACACTAATATCCAATTTTATTTTAAGATTAGACTTTAAAATCATGTCATAAAAATATTTTTAAAAACCATAGGTAATGAGAGATGCACTCAAAATGTATTGGAGTTCAGGGAAATGTATTGGAGTCCAGGCTTAGGGTGTTTCAAGCTAAATGGTTTTCAGGTTTATGCAGTGGTAGCATGGGTATGTTCTTGGGCTCAGAACATTCAGTGTTTTTAGGTTACTTCACAGCTATTTATGCATGTAAGTGCTATCTTCAATAGTTATTATGATACAAAATTATCTTACATAAACTATTGTTTTTAAACAAGCAGGGTCCATTTTTATACAAAAACATATCAGCCATTCCCCTGTGTTATAACAGTCAAAGGGTTAATAACACCTGTCTCTTCCTTTTATTATTAACCTCCTAACTCTCATGACTGAATACACATGTGAATTCAGCTGAGTTTAGTTCTCATCCACACCATATATTTCTGCAAAATAGACTTAGTTTAGTCAGTCAGAATCAAAATTTGATGGTTGTATGAACATTTGAAAATAGCTTTCTATTTTGGGAACAAATATTTGGAAATGACAGAAAAATAAAACCCAACATGGTTAAGCTCGTTTTGGACTTGATCTGCTTATAGAAATATGTATCCTAATGTCCTGAACCATAACACATGGAGTTCAAAGAGAAAGTGAGAAAGAAAGAGCAAACAAGAATTAAAAATCTGCTGTAGTCTGCTGATATTATTAATGCAAAAAAAAAACAAGAAAAACAAATAAAGATGAGGTTACTTTCCAGCTTACAATCAGCAGGTTGAATGTAGAGATTCATTCATATAGATATGATAGCCACGTAAAACTCCAGTCAGCTTTAAATTTCCCAAGTGTAACATTTTATTCTATGTTTGTTACTGAAACATTTTATTGACAAAATAAAAAGATATAGACTTATATAATAAATTTTTAAAAAGAAGAGAGGTTTGAAACAAAGATAACCAGGCAATCAGGCCTTTGATAATGAAATACGGGTAGAGTAACTTGTGACATATGTCACCTGGGTCTACCTGGTCCCTTGCTACCTTGAGCCCATATTGAAAGGATCTGAAATAGACATACATATCCTGATGACCATCCTGTCCAAAAAAATGAAATTACAATGCAAGTCACAGTAATCCAAGAATGAAAGGCTAGAAACAATATCATACTGTTGCTGTTGACAATTAATTGCTTGCAGTATATCCAATATGCCTCAATGTTAGTGCATAGGTTTACGTTGCTCAACTGTCACATTTCTCTTTGGCTGTAGCAAGAAACAGCTATAAGAGAAATGTCATATCAAGAAATGACTGCTCTTTCTACATATGACTAGGTCTAAGTGGAGCCATGGTATCTCCTTTCCTATCATCTTCTCAGCATTCAAGGGGTCTTGGAAAATTCTCTTCCATTCAATTCCCCCAAATTTCCTTCTGCCTTGCCATGAATCCCATAAATTCAGGACATCTGCAAAATTCTGCACACCTTTGCATATCTCTCACAAGGCTATAGGGAGAGGCAATTATAATATTAGCAGTGCATTGTATAACTTTCCAACAATCACCAGAAGGATTTGAGAAAGCAGGGAATCAGAAAATGAGGTTGGCTGGACACTAAATCCCAGGCAAACTGATGGTAAAAGCTACTGCCCTCCAATAGAGTTTGATCTTCAAAGCCAGTTTATGAAATGAATGAGACAGATGAATGGTTGGTACTATGCACTATAATACACTGCTTTTGGATTGAATTGGCACTCCACCAGGGAGTGGAAAATGGAGAAGGCACTATCTCCAGAGGTTATGCTTCATTAGGTGATCCACAAAAATGCCCACATGGAAGATAATACTACCTGGATTCAATGAAAGCCTTCCAATGGAGGGAATACTAATTAAATCTTTAAAATAGTGTAGGGATAGTAATATGCATAAACACATTGACTGTTAAGAATTTATATGCTCTGCTAACTTCTCTTGCCAAGTACAGCAGTGGAGGTTTGCCATGCTAAACATGCCATATGGCATAAACAGCAGTGAAAGTGTTAATATTTTAAAATGTTTCATTTGTGACATTATCTCTGAGATTCACTCATTCATGCTTTAAATGAGGATTAGAAACCATCATTGAAAAGCAATCAAGAGATCTGACCCTTTCAAATAGCCCTATCTTAGAACACTACTCCAAGGAATAATTTGCATTCTCAGTAAACTGATCATTCTATGCTGGAGAATAAAGTAATTGAATTGAACTGAAGAGAGCCTAATTTCATCTTTGGATGAAATTAGGCTTACAGGAAGACAGAACACTACAGCTTAACTTATGACAATGGCCTTCGTGGTACACCATTGATCCACATTCAAGAGAACACACATCAGCTCTAAAGAGAAATCCAACTGAACTCTACTAAGAGGGAGTGCTTAACGAGAGGAAACTCTCATGGGGAATAAAGAGAAGAATGGGTCATCTGTGGCACAATGGCCACTAGACCAGAAAGCACTGTGGGTCCGTTTCCCGGTGAACGTTATAGTTCCATCCAAATCGTAAAAAAATGGCTACTGACCGTTTATGACGACAGAATAGTCCTACCTTCAGGTCTACAGAATGAAAATCTGGGTAATCCTTAGGCGCATGGCCACCCACGAAAACCCGTTCCCCGAAGGAAAATCAGCTGTTATTGACCAAACTGACTTACATGAAAATTACAAAGCTGAAGAAGGGCAGAGAAGACATTTCTTAAGTTGTAGGTTATGACGGCTAAAATAATCACGATAGGATGAGAACATCTGATCCGGTTTCTATCGATACAATATAGCCTAACGCCAATGCGAGGATTTTCATTGGGCTCCACGTGAGCCCGAAGCCGCACAGAGCGGCGCCATGACGATTGATAAAGAGTTACCTACGATATATACCAGAGACTAGACATGGTATATATAACATGTCTTTGGTAGATACCTTCCTTGCTACTTACCGGTTCTCCCCACAAGTGATCTGAGTCTTGGGACGTGACTGGAGCCTGTAGCACTATCAAAGGGGCACCGTTATTACTTACAATCTCCATGGCACAGACATTGCTATCGTGAGACCATGGTAACGGTCTGTTTGTACCGTAGGGGCTTGGTAGAAACCACACTTCCCACGAGAGTCTGATGACATTCCACACGGTCTCCTTTCACTTTAGTTTTTCTTTTACTACCACACTGGAGACTTCAAAAAGGCAGAGGAAACGGCGGAAAATAAAGTCCCTTGACCTGTTGGTGAACATTTTTTTCCCATCCATTCCCATCCCATTTCGACCTCGACACGTGACATCGAAATGGGCGAAATCGCCTCTTGATGTCACTAGCTATCTTGACTCTTGACTCTTGACCATCCCCTTAGGGTAAAACCATGTAAGTTCGGACTGTACATAAGTTCGGACACTATAACATACATCGTTACATAAATAAGCATTGGTGAGCTATACCTCAGAAACAATTCTTCGGAACTTGGAAGAGCTGTTTCCTAAGGTGACCTCGCAAATTCTTTTTTTATAACGATTTATTTTATGGTGTCCGAACTTATATGGTTTTACCCTATTGCATTATGTGGCATGCATACTGCACTCCGAATTTATCTCGTACCACGTTATTGAGACATAATGCCTAAGTCTAACCTGCACCAACTCGGTCGATCCCATGAACACTTTTTTTTCCTACTATTTGAGTGTCCAGTCAATTCCCCGTCGGTCAAATCCTCGACTGGACAATTTCCCGAATAACAAATTCCCCGACAAGTCAGTTCCCCGTTTGGAAAATCCCTGACCCGTAAATTCCCGAATTATTAATTCTTCGATGGTGGCACAAAGGTCAGGTGGTACTGGTACAATGCGATTGAACGTACAGACGGTTGAATTAATGGGTGAATATTAATAACAAGTTTTTGTTTGCAATGGATTTGTTTCCCATCCAACATTCCCGTCTCGCACATCATGCAGCTAGGATTATAGAGGATGTGGCCGCTCCCGAACCGAGCCGGGACTCAGGAGAGGGGATCCGAGCCAACGGAAGGAAAGGGAAAACTACGTATTCGCTTATTCTGGATGGGAGGAAACCATGGAATTCTTTGCCCTCGGCCTCTGGAAAGTTAGTTCTCATGTGGAACATCACTATCGATACGATGCCGATCAGGTCACTGATGCAGATTCCCAGGTGGAAGAAAAAGAAAGATGAAAGAAACAGGGAACAAAAATGGTCGCAGAATAATCCTCTCAACCACCAGAGATGAGACGATCGACAAGTTGTCCATCGATGCCGAAAATGGGGGTATATCTGGAGAATTCAAGTGGTTTAGAAATCAGACCATTAGAATGGTCGGTGTGAGAACATGGAATTCATGAAATAGCAAATAAGGGAAAGGATCTTCTTATTCTTGAGGGCTGTGCTCACAAAGAACAAAATGAACAAAGACGCATGAAGTAAGTATTGGGAGCGCCTCCACAGAAGATACAAAGGAAACTGCAATTACAGAGCTACAACTGGAGGAGGGCAGCTTGCCCGTGTGGTTGTTGGTATGGGTGGTACAAAAGTGGGTATACAGTTAGCTGTTTGATGACATACCTCGTAGATGCATTTAAGGAGATTAATGAAATTAAGGAACTGTGTCATAAAGTGTGCAAATGTGTCAAGGACCGTTTCCAGAAATGTGCCAACAGTGACGGCCACCAGTTTCAACATATCCCAGAATAGCTTTACAATGTTTGTAAATGAATAAATAAACAGCTGACTGCATACTTACTTTTGCACCAACCTGCATAGCATTGAGGAGCTGGCCAATCGGGGAATTTGTCGTTCGGGGAACTGAATCGTCTGGGAATCGACCAAAAGGTAATGTTACTTATAATTGAAAAATGCCTGGACTGGGCTTTCTGATGGTGTACAGCATTTTTGGGAGGAGACTCTCCACATAATTTTTTCCCCCCGTAAAAAGTGGGAAATTTCCATTTTGAGATTTCCTGTCAAAAACGTCCTCCATGTGGGTGTCAAAAATGCAGTCTGAAACTAGTTTAAACATGGAAGCCTGGAGGGAATCTATCGAACTGAAAAAAGTTTAATTCATGACTCAATCAACCAATATGGAGAAATCTGCCTTCAAATTAGATCTTTTAATTCAAATGTTGGGTTCAGGTAGTTTCTTTATATATATAGTAATGGACCTAATATTAAAGAAAGATATTGGCTAAATAGGCAGTTACCTGGCTGGGCAGTAAACTGCCCCCAACCAAGGTGCACAGATAGAGTAAGAGAAGTTATTTGGTGCCGAAAATAGCCTTTTGTTATGTGTATGTAAGAACATGTGTACCAAACTCTATGAAAATATATTGGTTTTTCTACTGAATATTTTAGTTTTCCTCAAAGTCAAATTTTGTTCTCAAATAGCTCACGCATCCTGTATATATATATAGATAGATAGATAGATAAAGAGAAGTTATTTGGTGCCGAAATTGTCCGAAACTACCCAAGGGCAACAGAAAATGCCCAACCTTTGGACCCAGAAGCGTGGGACTTCGAGATGAGAGTCCAAGTTATTAGAGACAGCCTGCAGGTATGGGGCAAGGCTAAAGGAAGTTAGAAAGAGAAGGGACAGCGAAGGATCCTATCCTAGAAATTTGTCAGGCAGCCTGCGTCGTAATTAAAATCAGTCAAAAAATAAATACATATATTCATAATTCTCTCTCTGAGGGCTTTGGTTTGATCTATTGCTGGGTTGAATCGAACCAAGATAAAAGAAATTGGCTATTACGGAGCCTTCTCCAATATCAAATTCTCTCATTCCCCCCAATTTTTGGGGGAGGGGGCTTATCTCGAAAATCCTTGATTGTACTGCGCTTATTTTTTTTGTCACACCTATTCTTCCAGATTATGTGTAGCAAATTCTTAGCAAATCCATGCTGGTCGAGCAACTGCCTTGGTTGAGTTGGTATGAAATGTCCCACTTTAGACCTCCACATAATGTAGCAAAGAATTGGATGAAGTTCGGGCCTCTGTCCTGGACTCCATTTTCACTCCATTTTTGGTTTCATGAAGCGCACGCACGTGGAAACCTAAGGATCAGATCCGGCGTTATTCAATGGTTTCTATCGATGACGTCCGGGTTTCTATCGATGACGTCTGTCTCGGCCTGCGCAAGTCGACGAGAATGAGAAATTCCACATCAAGGTCTTTTATTATGATGTCGCGGCAGGTGTCATGTTCCCGTGACGTGTTTATTTCGGGATCTGACGGATCAGTTACAACTGGACCAGGGCGAAGGCACTCTTATCATTAATAAGTCGGGAAATACATCAGTAGTATTTTCTGTATAGTCCATTTTAAGATTCACGTTTTTGACGAACAGTAGTAAACTGAGAGAAGATACTGATATTAATAAAAACTTTAATTTCATTTGTCTAATGGCATATATCATACGTGTGGAGCGAATGCCTGACGATCCTCGAAGAATGCACCTCGAAGAATGCCGAAAATTTCCTTCATGTTTTGGCAGCAGCATTCTCACCATGCTTTCACCCATCGCAAATCGCAAATGCAATCGCACGGATAAGGGGGGTTTGGAGAAAAGGGGCATAGAAAGAATGCACGATATGGAAAGGTCCAACCAGGGGTTAGGAGGAGGCGGAGGAGGAGGGTGGATGGCGAATGTCACGTTCAAGCCAGGGGTAATTGGACACGCCTAAGTGCCGCCGTACCCAACACCCCCTTTCTCCTCCGGTTCGTTATTGGTCTAATAAACGTTATGGCAAACTCCTCGATGCTTTGGTAGGGAGTAGGGAAGTCGTGCAATACCACGATTTGGGCCCAAGTCAAACACATTTACATCATCCGATCGATGAGAACCCTGTTGTATCCTTACCTGATTTCCTTTCCTTACTCTATTTCGTGCATCTCTGCAAGTCCTCTTGGGGATGGACGGGAGACACAACCTTAATAAAAGAGTTTAAATAAATGTAGATAGTTGGATTATCTACTAATTAATTTCTTTCAACTAAATTAGGAATCAGGCAATTATTTGGTCATTCAATATGCAGGGCGTAGTTCAATGACTCACGGAATGGAGGGAGTTTGCAGAGAATGCCCACCCGCGAAACGGAATAGGTGTCGAAGGCACCTGCGAATAGGATCCGGTTGCACGAACAAGAAATAAAGAAAAAAACAATCGCAGAGATGCAAAGTCATACGATCCCTAGCTTTAGAAAGGCGTGGCCGGTTGCGCACTAAGCGAAGGGCAGAGCCAGCATCCCCACCACGTACCTTCTCCCCTCCTTATGATCGGATTAGGGCTCTGACCCTGCTCAAGGATTCTCCGTTCCGCTTCCTCCGACAGGTTAGTTTCTCGTTTCATTTTTCATTTCAAAAGGTTTTATTTTAATTTTTATTTTATTTTGTCTTTTCAAGTGGTTTGACAAACGTTACTGGACAAATGAACGATGCAGAATGCGGGAACTCTTTCAATACAATAATAGACCGAGCGGAACGACAGCTTCGCGCCGTCGAAAGTCGAGTTTCGAGTAGGACAAAATAGCTTCGGTATGTCGATGGGGTGAATTTGCAGAAATTGACTTGGAAATTTGCGCCCTTACGCGGGTTATTCTTGCGAAAGAGCGAATATGAGTTCTTATTGTCACTCAGCTCTTTGATGGGTGAAGATTCCTGAAAATGTTCGAAAAAATGTGGTTTCTCTCTCAGGCTTGTGACATATTCGCCATTTCGTCATATCACCAATGATATGTGAGTTGAAGGATTCGAGATACACGCACTAGTTGCTAAGGCTATGATGGTGGTCATTGTGGCATCTTGATGTAGAATGCTCCCCCTAAATTTACACATTTCTATCCCCATCAATAACGCGTAATACCTTCCATGGATTTTGTCTCCTTTCTCGCTAGGGAGTCAGATCGCGTCCACTTTAAGTCTGGCGTGAGTTGAGGGATGGCCGAAAAAAGAAGCGACGCTGTGCAATTTGAGCATTCTCATTGTGCGTTTCAAAGGCCTGATGGCATATGCACCACATCCGTTCAGCAGCTTTAGGTCATTTCAGTTTCTGATTGTCCGATTTCGTTCACATCCTGATGGGATTCGCTTGAACTGAGTTGATCTCGCACGAACCACTGCGAAATTAAATCAGATAAGGATTAACGGTTCTAGAGCATTGTTCCCCCATGTAGTTTGGGCATTCCGCTAATTTCTAGTCTGCGAAATTTCCAACCAGTCTTTTCCGCAGCTGGCGAGAAGAAAAAAGGAAAAGATAAAACGTGTTTGTGCCGGTGTATGCAAGGACCTTTTGGACGAAAGACAAATTGTCATCGTCTATATTTGGATTTGGTTGAAAATTGAGGCAATGCGGAAGTTTTAATTATTTTCAAGATAATGCCATTCTCTCAAGCTTTTTTTTCCGGGGGCCCTTAACACAAGACTGATGCATGACAAAACATTGAACTGCTTATGTTGTTCAAAGTTTTGTCGCTTGCGTACTGTCACGTTAATACTACCAGCAATTACGGAGGAAGAACGTGGTGCTTAAGTGTACCTTAAGTTCCGCATACATGTACATTTTTCAGATTAGACTTCCTTCTAATGATTGAGTAATCGATCGGACTTGAGTCCCAATCGTGACTATACATGCCAAGCGATCGTTTCATGGGCCTGGTCGTAATGCGGATGCCCGCTGAGGGAGGTTCTAACGAACCGGATGCATTACGTCCTCAAGTGGGGCGTGAGGTCATCTCAAGGTCCTCAATCCCTCTCTGTATTTGATATAAATCAATAGCTCCATCATCGAACAAGGGGATTAGGCTCCATCAACGCAGACCTCTTTCCTTGTCGCTTCTAACTTTATTTCAAATAGTTGATGGCAGATGGCGAAGACTAAGAGCTGCCGCGCTGTGTTTTGCCTCCGCAATCCCAGAACTTCTCATGGAACGGTTTTTGCTGTAGCAGGCCGTCTGGGACATCCAATAAATACTGCATTGGCAGATGACTAATCCAACGTCTCATTTTTGTCTATGATCTAGAGCGGCATGTCTTCGAAGCTCCGCCAACATCCGCCAAGTCCATCACTCCTTGACTCCCTTCCCGAATCCAGCGTGGATCCTCCCAAGACAAAAGGTAAGCCAGATCCCAAAGCTGAAGCATTGGTAATCTACAATGTTTTCACTCGAGTTAGACATTTTTCCACCTAGATACGTTCACGGTTATCGCCATTAAGACGGTTAAAATGTTAAGCGTTCATCTGTAGACGCGGGATGAGAGCTGTATGAAGGCATTTTCAGAGGCTTGGATGGCACTCCTTTTGAACTTGGAAATAAAAGTGCCTTTATTGCAAATAAATGGGCAACCAGTTTCGAACCCTAAAAATCAGAAACGTAGAACTTAACCCCCATAGACATGGTGGATACCCACTCAAGAAAGTGTCCACCGATTTTGAATCACATGGAGGAAGGTGACGTGGCTCTAATTGGCTGATCTTCGCCATGCAGTCGCTTCCTTGAACGAACGGCTGGAGGCAGTCCTCTTCGTTCCAGAGCTCCCCTTCCCTACGCCACTGAAAGTCCATCGTGTGGGTTAACTTGCATAAGAAATTCGTTCCAGTCCTCCCCTCCCCTCCCCTCCCCTCCCCTCCCCTCCCCTCCCCCCTCCCTAGTAGTTTTACAACTAAAGTCTGTGGTAGAATATTTTAAATGCAATTCCTTTTTCCTTCGTTGCTGGGGCGCGTAAAGTCTTGAAATACCTCCAGTGACCTATAGTGAAATTTTCCACTTGTGGTCATTCGAAGGAAAAGAGACTTCGACGATATTTACTCCTTAACTCGTTCTCGTTAATTTCATGGGTACTTCTTTGGTAGGCAGGTGACTTGCCTTGAGATGACGCAGTCACCAAATCACAGACGACTCCGATGCAATGAGGAATCTGGAATAATTCCTGGGCTAGTTTGATAAGAAACAAGGTAGAGTAGAGGGAACTGCAGTAGTGGTTTTAAATTGCAAAGTAACACCCGTAAATGTGAATTATATACTAAACTTCTCTCTTTCCACAAATATAAGAAGTCCAATATGCATGTTCTTAGGAAAAATGATCCTTGATTCCTTTACTTATGAAAATAACAATTTGAAAAGCAAATCTTTGAGTGACATGGACCAGATCTGTTGCTGGCTGTCTATTGCTTAGAAAGTCGAATATCCAACAATCCTGGACGAATGCAAGCGAAGCAACGCAATCTTGCTCGTCTGTAACGTGATATGTCTCCTAGTTAAAAAAAAAAATATATATATATACGGTGTTTCAAAAAAAAGGCGCCAAATCATTTTCGCTAATAATGAGAGTACTTTTCATCAGATATAATAAATTTTTAAACAATGCATGCAAATAGAGTAAAGAAGGTAATTACCTAATTTAAAGAAATTTGAGGCATCTTATCCCGTTCTATGCCAGTTCACACTTAATAGGTAAAAAAGTGTGCTGTACAAGCCCGCTGATGCGTTCGCCTCAGCCAATGAAGCGAAGGAAATTTGTGTATATCTTATCAAAGAGGCACAAGTCGTGTTGTTCTCCCTTCGTCACCGATTTTATAACGAAATTTTTGGTCAATTCGAAGGAAATTCATACCTGGTATTGGCCAAACATTTCTTTATCAAATTAGGCAACCAAGGAAAAACACCACGCCCCCTGCCTCTTTGGGTGTTTGGTAAGGCACGCATAGACTTCTGTTCACTTCGCTGGCTGAAGCGAACGCACCAGCGGGCTTGTGCGGTACGTTGTTTCACCTGTCAAGTTTGAACCAGCATAGAACGTTATAAAATACCTCTATTTCTTTAAAATTAGGTGATTACCTTCTTTGCTCTATTCACATATAGTGTTTGAAAATTTGCGCCGACCTGATTAAAAATACTGTCATTATTAGCGAAAATGATTTGGCAGTTTTTTTTAAACACCGTGTATATGTCGTATGCAAGTTGAACTTGCATAAAATATACCGTGCAACTTGAACCTGTTCTGATTCAGGCACACGTACACCTTAAGTGTACGCGTGCCTGATTTTCCCAATGCATGTTATCTTGCATGCATTTCTTCTTATGCAAGTTAACCCACACGATGGACTTTCAGTGGCGTAGGGAAGGGGGGGGGGGGGTTTAGGGGGTTAGAACCCCCCCCCCCCCCCCCCATCAACATAAACATTCTCGAAAAAAAAAATTGTTTAAAAAACTGGCTCTAGCAACTGATACGAGGTGGCGCCTAACCGCCAGTTCAGTGATTCCCTCATTGATGTCTCAAGAATTAGTCTGTGGTGTGCTTAACAGAAATGCTTGAATGCAAGCCACAATATAGTTGTTGCAGATTCTTTAATTATGGACAATTTGACATCCTGAAGCAGTTTCTTAATTTTATTCATAGGGGTGATAATTAATTCATTTCATGGTGTTTGCCATGCTGGCTCGAAAATAAAGCAAGTGCCGGTAGCCGAACGCATTCGATCATTATTTTGGCCGAGATGAAGTGCTTCTCAGAACCTGCACGAAAATGTGCAATCCAGGTTAACATGAACAAGGGTTTGTCCGTGTAGGTTCAATCTGCACACGGTGATGGACTGTTCAAGTTAACCCAGGACGATTCGGCCGTCCAAGTTCAACTTGCACAATGAATTATCGTGCAAGTTTAACTTACACGGCAGGGTCAACTTGCATGCGACATATACATTGGAAATCTGTTATGATTTCCTTCAACCCTTACCCCTCAATCCTCAATAAAAAGAAAGTCATATTTTAAAACTATACCAGATTACAACAGAGCAACCTATCTGTGACCAAAAGACTTAATTCGTAACGGATGTCCATAGCTAATGAATGACTCGGCAAAGATGAGGCGACCCGGAACGTATTCAGTCGCAATCGGCCACGACAATCTTGCGGACTGCTTTCACTAGGGGTCAAGGAGGAACATAGAGGCGAAGTACCAGTAATAAGATCCTCTGTCCTTCAACTACGCTCTTGCCTTTGACGCTGTTGCATCTTGTGTTTACGAAGTAGATGAGGTTGCCAAGAAGGAGCAGAAAATCCATCCCGAGGAGTCAGGATACGTCCATGTGCCGAAGACCACGCCCAGAACAGTGAAATTCCTCTCTTCAGAGAGATCTGCCTCCCTCAACAGCTGGAGAATGACTGACGATTCCGAGAAGCCGAATCTGGTGGAAGAATACACGATGATCGACAGGGAAAGGGAGATGGAAGGCCCTAGGAACCAAGGAGGTGGAGGTTCGATATTGAAGAAGTTTTCCCTGAAGAAGTACCCTCCGGAGCCGAAACCCCCACGGACAAAACTGGGAATTGGAAAGACAGTCGTGAACGGAACTAATTCAAGCACTAGCACTGCCAGTACGACTGAGAGTAGTCTGACTGTCAACAACATCAAGGATCATATTAGCTTTTACGGCACTTCTAGGCTCCATCATTTTGTGATTGTGGCAATCGACTTCGGCACCACTTACAGTGGGTATGCATTCAGTTTCACGCGAGATCCCGGCAACATTCACGTGATGAGGAAATGGGAAGGTAAGTTAATCCTGATCTAGAGTCTTCTTTTTTTCTGCGTTAAAATGTGACAAGAATACTATACTGTGAGTATAATAATACTGTGACAAGAAAATACTAATCGTCTCGTTCGACATGAGGTATTACAAGTATTTACATGAAACAGGGTTTAGCCCTTGTCTGTAATCATTTTCTTAAGGGACTCTAAACGCCCATAGACTCCAATATAATAGTAAATATGAACTGATTGGGACTCTTCTCTCCCGGATCGCAGGCGACCCAGGAGTGATGAATCAGAAAACGGCTACAGCTCTTCTTCTAACACCAGACAAGAAGCTCCAAAAGTTCGGATTTCCAGCAAGAGAGGCTTATAATGACTTAAACTCCAGGGATGCCAAAAACTTTCTTTACTTTGATCGTTTTAAAATGATCCTCCATCATGAACCAGTAGGAATACCTCTATTTCCATCTGTTTCAATGGGCATAATAGCAGAATGACGAACTCGACGGAACTTCACTCCCATAGGTCCTCGACCGAACGACGTGCATTGAAGCGGCAAATGGAGCAAAAATGCCAGCTATAGAAGTTTTCAGCCTGGCCTTGGAGTACTTTAAGGATCATGCACTGCGGGAGATATCGGACCACACTGGAACAACTCTGGAGCCAGGAGATGTTCGATGGGTCGTCACTGTCCCTGCAATCTGGAGGCAGCCGGCCAAGCAACTCATGCGGGAAGCTGCTTACAAGGTAATAGGGGGGCTTCCTGATATTGTGCCTCTGTAGCACCTGATTCAAAGTGACTTTGAGTTCAAGTCATGTTTCATAGACTGGCAATTACTGAAGGGCGTTAACACCGTTAACACTGAGAGCATCACTGCATCCAGAATGCATCAGGAATCTTTTTCATGAAAGGGTAAGAGTTGGCTTTGCTGTCTGTTGGGAGACGATAGAAACCTTAGATTAATCCCATACAGGCAGAATGCTTCGATTCAAATTTGAAAAGTGTATGGCGGAAATAGCACATCACACGGAGTGAGTACGAGTGGATAGCGAAATTAAAACGGGGATGTGTAACACTACCGCCTGACCCACTTTTGCAGCATCAGCAAGGGCCAAATGCTATTCCCTGGGTCTGGAAGAAAATCAGAGGTCATGAGGAATCATGACATTGGATATTTCAATATGGGGACACTTTTATGAGTAATCGACTGCTTATTTAAATTTATTCTTCGGGATACTCTACTAAGGAAGTTGTGGAAAGGGGTTCTAGTCTAAATCCCATCGGTAGCAAGAGGGATGGACTAGAATACCATGAGAATCCGAATCCTTGAGGGTTTGTGAAAAGATAATTCCAGCCACCTGAAACGGGAACAATAGATCAGGAAAAACATAATCTTATCTCGTTCTCTCACATCATTGAATGAGATTGATGACGTTGGGTAGGAATATGTGGTTCTCTCCGGTTCGCATGCTGAATGCCAGGAATGAGGGGAAAAGTGGTTTTAGCTCTACAAAGAAAGTGATGAGGTGGCCTTCCAATTGAGAGCCAGGAGGGCAACGATGCCTTCAAAATTTCGTTGCAGCAACAAGTTGAATCTTCTGTATTGTGCGGTGAATTGTACAGAAAGGTGTCACTTTTGAGGACTTCTTTGCAGGCGGGAATGACGACACCGGATCATCCAGAAAGGCTTCTGATTGCCTTGGAACCAGAAGCTGCAGCAATTTATTGCAAGGGGTTGAAAGTGTCGGACTTGCAAACAGACAATGCGAGGTATTCGGTCCCGTCGAGAAAGCCATTAGGGGACGAGCTCGTCGTTCAAACTCCGACTCGTGGTGAGTGCATTTCACTATGTTCGACTTTTTGTGAAAATGGAGAAATTTGCTCAGAAAACGCGAAAGGGTGACCCCATTTGACAGACAGTACTGACGCATTGCAGGAAGTAGATACCTCGTCGTGGATTGTGGGGGTGGAACAGTGGACATTACAGTCCACGAAGTCATGGACCAGAAGGGGAATCTCAAGGAAGTGTATAAAGCCACTGGAGGAGCCTGTGGTGCAATTGGTGAGAATCAAATCCTGACGAAACCAAGGTTGCTCAAAACGGTTCTTGCAAATCGTCTTTCGTAATTTTCTCCCACTCGCACCCCATACTTACAATGTGTAACTCTCTCTCTGAACACTGTTCATAAACGCCTTAATCGTTACATTCTTTGGACAGACCCTAGCTTGTCTCGAATATTAAATATGAGGTAATATAATGTGATGCTGTATTTGTGCAGAGGTGGACAAGGCTTTCCTTTCTCTCTTATCGTCCATCATGACCGCCGAATTCTTGGCGAAATTCAAATCTGAGAAACCAGCAGGCTATATAGTTCTCATGCAAGATTGGGAAGCACGAAAAAGAAGTGCATCGCCAGCCAAGACCACTCCGACCAACATCCCCCTTCCTTTCGCCCTCATCGACTCATACAAGAGAACCGGTCAGCATGTAAGGCATATGATGGCAGGCCCACTTCTTCCTAGGTTTTTCCTTCTCAGACGGCAATCTCATCCTGAATTTATGAGTGCTGTTATTTTATAGTTGGAGACTGCAATCAGGCGGAAAGGGCTGAAGGGGGTTCGTTGGTCAGATCAGGGGATGCTTCGTCTGGAGCCAGAAGTCACGGCGTCTCTCTTCAGGCCTACTCTCGACCAACTCGCTCAGGTTCAACCTTGGGCCTTCGCAATATCGCCAAGGGCCCTTCTCTGATTCACAAAGTCATTTCTTCCTTTCCAGTACATCCGGAAGGTGTTGGACGAACCAATGGTGGGACCAGTGAATTACCTGTTCTTGGTGGGTGGGTTCGCAGAATCTCCCTTCGTCCGCCAGAGAGTCTTGGCTGACTTCTCGTATCGATGTCCCGTCATCATCCCTCAGGTCAATATATATTAGATAAACTTGTGTCAACAGAGATCATTCATGAAATGAGTGGATGATTATTACTCTAAAGACTGGCATCGCAATGTAAAAAAAAATGGTTGATGTGCACTGCAGTCAGCTTCTGTCGCAGTACTGAGAGGAGCCGTTCTCTATGGTCTGGATCCAGAAGTGGTGAAGATGAGAAGAGCTCGCGTGACATACGGTGTTGGAGTCCTGCACCCCTTTGATCGCAACAAGCATCCCTCAGGTATTGTATTATACCGGCCTTCCAGATTCACAAAATTCTCATCGTTCTGGAAACGTAAGAGATGGTCATCCTGTGGCAGAGAAGCGAGTGGTACACGGGCGAAAGGAGTGGTGCACGGACGTCTTCGAACCGTTTGTCCTCATGGATCAAAGCGTTTCCCTCGGAGAAGCTGTCATGAAGACCTTCCTGCCTGCAAAAGAAGACCAAAAATTCCTCGTCCTTCGCATCTACAACGCCAACAGCCTGGACGCAAGAGTAAGTTATCCGCATCCTAAAAAAAAAAGCTACAAAAAAACTTTAACCTGTATGAGGAATAAACTCGTGACGTCCGTTACTAGTTTGTGACAGACCCCGGGGTGAAGATGTGCGGAGTATTGCGACTGGAATTAGGGAAACGAGGTTCCGACAACGGGTCAACTCCCCGACAGATCCAAGTGAGAATGATCCTAGGGAACACCGAGATCACGGCATCCGCCTTGGACGTGGACACTGGCAGACACGTCGTCGCAGAGATCGACTTCCTCACGGCTGATACATGAAGATCTCATTCCTTCCTCCGTTTACCATTCTTTTTGTAAGAGGTAGAAAGCATGTGGATACGATGCATGACCGTCTCCCGTTTCGGATGCGTGATCCTTGAATGCCACCTCCCATTGCAATATTATGAATGCGGAACGATATTTTAGAGGCTGATGATCAGATGGAAAAATCTGCTCTTTTGAAACCATTGTCAAATAATCGAATGACAGCATTCCTATTTTGATTATTCAGAATTGAGTGTAATGCTTTTCTTTCCTTGAGAAGAGAAAGCTGAAAAGGCATTGATGCCTTTGGCGCGCACACAAGGAAAGTCTCTGTTGTTACATATTGTTACATGCTGCACAGCTGTAATTTCAATCATCTACTTTCCCGAAGTTCCTCACTCGTTCCTTAGTGAAGAAGCAACTAAGTTCCTCACTGAACTTAGTTGTTTTGTCCCTGAGTAACTTGCAACTTCACTCAGTTACTTTTCCAAAGTAACTAATCCAACTCTGACAAAAAGTGCTGGTTGGGCTGGGAAAGAGTTGGAACTGCACCAAAGTACTAACCCAGTCCTGTGTATCTTTCGCTCTATGAATGAAAAAGCTTTCGCATTTGGCGTTTACACAGAAGAAGCAAATACTCAAAAACCATCCCCGAGGACTTCTTTATTCTTCGAAAGTTACTTCTGGGATTCTTCACAATTGGGCTGGATTGCCCAAGTAGTTTCTCACCAGAAGACCCTGGAGACTCTTCCATTCAACGGTTGCTTTTACCGTCATGTCATAGTCATATGTTTAAAGTCGGAATTCTTCGTCATACTCTGTATGTATACGTCTTCTCCATTGTCAGTATCTGTTGCTATTTGACTTCGATCTCATGCACCTCCTTGAGGAAATGTCTCCATCTTTCTGATGCTCTTACTCGGGTTCCACATGGTTGTGGGGCCTCAGAAAAATTTCCCGAAAAAATACGAGATAACTCTTTTGAAAGGGATATTTTGGGTGCAATAATATTCCTCAGCCCCAGACGGTAAAATCACCCGTGTGAGCAACCATGTGATTTTGGAACAGTGTGACCCATGTGGCTGGGACAAACGGGACACTTTTCTTTATTCATTCACGGTTATCGGTAACGGTAATGAATATCTTAAATAAAGGAAGAGTAGAGGATATCGCTATGAACGTTCCTGGAGTAATATGGACCGCTATAATTGATTGCATTCTTTATATTATTTTCCCAACAAAACCATAGCTTCCTTCAAATTCTAATAAGAAAGCCAGCATACATTTGATTCTATTTCTGGTGCCCGTACAGACACTCAAGCACCCGCCAATCCGATTAGATGAGGGTGTGACATGGGGTATGGTAGGGTGTGAGACGGAAAATCAAATGGTAGATCACATGCCTTTCACATGTGGCATAGCATGTGATCGGGGGTGATTTTTCCGTAAGGGGCAATCTGCACACACCTCATCTTGATCGCATTTAGGATACAATGGCATTGGGCAAGCCTTCAGAGCTACGTTTCGAAGATTTGTACTACAGCAGGATCCACGATATACAGGATTAGTCAATATGATGTACCTATTTTACCCATCGCACATGCACCATTTTTCGTAGACCACCATCCTATGCAGCGATTTTCCATCGCTGTTCGAAGTTGAGAATAAATCGTGTACATAAATTTGACTAAATCGATACATGGAACAGAGATGCCTCATTTGAATCAATTTTTCTCAGCGTCTCAGGAGCACCCCTGTCTACGGTGAAAACTGAACGATTTTCTCCATCCTATCAAAGTAATATTGATAGATTCAGGCAAGAAAGTTCAAGATTTCTCTCTTAATGAATTATATCCATCGTGATCCGGGATCCTCTGTCTGCCTACAGGGAAGTTAAGTTACTTCATTGTCCAGAACTATTGCCATCTAGTGCTGAGATGGGTGAAGAGAGGCTGGTAGCTGCTCCTTCAGGTTTGGATCGGCCCCTCCAGGACTCGACCTGGAAGGCAAATGAATCTCGTAAAAGTGTTCTTAGCGAACAGTTTACAACTTAACTGATTCAACTTGTCTCACGTAGATGGAATGACGCTGGGACTCTTCATTGCAATGTTTGGTTTTTCGTATGTTAGAAACACTCCTACAAGCACACGAAAAGCTGGAAAGAAAGCAACTTAAACATCAGCTTTCCCATAACTGAGCAAATGATTGGAAATTGGAGCTCATCGCACATTTCGCACGCCTTTCGGGAAATGACCTCCCGATCGAACTTAACAATCTTTTCATGCATTTACTTTCGACTGAAAGCAAATACATGGGAAGTCAAAGTTCAACAAAGTAAAAATGGCCCGTTTATTCATTCAGAGAAGTTCAAAAATCTTCTCTGCGGTGATATTCTTCTGTTAAAAATGAACCTTTTCTACCCAGGGAAAAGAATAGATTTCACGTTCTGAAGAGGTTTGGGAGAGAGAATAGGTCTTACATTGTTCCACATATGTCTGGGAATCATAGTGTGCACGTATAGCCTCTCTGTATCTAAATAGTGGATGAACTAAAATTGTTCGATGTCCCATCATGGTTCCATTTTTCCTTCTTCGCTAATATGAGGATCCTCGCGAACGTTGTCGATATCAGTCGAGTGTCTCCACTGATGATAAGAAGAAAAAATTAATGAAATGCTTGAAATCGGGCATTCGTGTTCAAGTGCCCACGGCAGGAGTGAATCGTTTTCGATAAAAGAGGCAATCACATCTAAAGGAAGCGGATTGGTCGTGCGGATTCCCAACCCCGCCCCAGCACATTTTCGTCTCCGTCAATCCGTGGCAAGTCTTCCTCGCTGTCGCCTGGATCGGCCTGGAGATCATGGCCAGTGATTTCCCCATGGCATCTGCTAAATCCTTTATGATCAGGGATCTCTTGGACATCCACGAAAATCACATATTCGACAAAGGTAGGCCTGTTCTCGATCACAATAAGGAAAGACCTATGAGGGAATCACGGAACGATCTTTTTCCGTGATGTTCCCCAGGTATATTCAGAATAATAATGGTATATTCAGAATATACCATTATTCGATATTCGTGTCCCATCAACTTTCGAGCTTACATGCCGACATGCTTGCATGCTTCTCTTCTTGCGGGCGGAAACAAAGGCTTAATAAAAATAGGTTTCATCGTTTCAGGAGAGACGCATTAACTTTTTATTTTAAATTATCCTTAGCTTTGCGATAAGACATTCTTGCTATACTGAAACGAATGCACGTCGCAGGAGATCAGGACTGAAAATGGCATTGGAATCTCCACTGGCCATTCCCTTCAGTATCACGGTAGTACTTTCGATTGGTCACGTTCCCATGTAAAGCTGCTCTCTCGTCGGCGAGCTTTATGGGCTAATTTCCCGCTTTATAGACGCCTTGACAGAGGAGAATGTGAACTCGATGGAGTTGAGAATCGGACGGGACGGAGGTAGAAAATCACATTTTTATCACGTGATGTGCATGTGTTATCTGAGCGGGCCCAAGCATTTACCACGAAAAAAAGAAGAAAGAATACTGCGACTCGTAATAAGTACAAGCGTCAACGTAGAGAGTAATTCTTACATTGTTCTCCATAAAAGTTGCTTTCTTGAGGAACATGCGACGCTTCCTTTCTTTCTCCAATCATAGGCTTTGATCACTGTTGACAGAGGTTTCAAACGGATTTAACGCCTCCTGGAGTAGTGCGCGGAACGAATTGTGAAATATGGCATGTCGAAATCCCCCGAATCTCCAACTTATTTTGCCCGAGTGACTCGACGAAAACACTGAAGCTTGCTTGCCTTCGTATTCACGAAATGAACTAGAAATAATGAAACACTTTGGTAATCGGTCGATCGATGCTGTTTCAGTCTACGAAGTTTAAATACGTATTTTGATTACGGTGTTAATGTACATCTTCTGTGGTTCAATTGGGATAGTAACTGGGAGAATGTAAAAGTACGTGAGTAGAATTCGATTTCAGTCTGTAATATCAAATCTCCCGGAAAATGTTCAACGTCTTGGTCTAGCCTTTAACATCCTCAAGTTCCATCGCAATAATTATTTCCTTCCGGTAATCATAGCCTATTTTTCGCCGAGTCTCCATTAGTGACAGTATTCCAGCAAATGGCTCGGAGTACTACCGGAGATTCGCAGATATTTTTTTTTTCTCCTACCCTGCGACTCGACTGAGCTCTAACCCGTAAGCGATGTATTGGAGCCTGTTCTTGACAGACGTTTATCGTCAGGTGTCCTCGTCGAAAGTAATCGGAGGTCAATCACGCCATTTCCTTGACAAATTTTGCGGTTGCTATTTTGCGTAAGCTCATGGTGGATGCTGGATGCCGATTACGTACTGAGAAGCAAATGAACTACAAGAAACATCCTTACCCTCTTACCTTAATGAAATCGGTTATTTGGTTCCTAGATCCAGTATGATTGAAAAGGGGGCAACGGATCCTGTTGCAACTGTTGCAACGGATCCATCATGATTTAACATTTCAATAATCCCCCGTATTGTCTGCTCTTTAACCTTGCCGTCCATGTGAGTCCTTCTTACGATCTACGACTGCAGGGTTTACAACTTACTCTAGATTTGAATGAAATTTCGCGAATTTGTTTTTCTCCTCTCGAAAGTCTTTGCTCTGAGCGGATGTGATGCTCGGAGGAGTCGTCAGATCACGCCTGTCCAAATTTCATTTTACCTGACTCGATGAGGGAATCGAGGGAAACATGAAAAAAAGATTCTGAAAGCAGTGCGTAGGCACACAGTCTCTGAGAGAATACGGACTTTATGGCGATTAAAAAGAGGGTGCAAAAAAGGGAGGCTTCGATCCCCCCTGCTTATAGCGCCGAGATCGCTGCCTAATTGCTCGCAAATCCCCCTTTTGAAGTCCTCATTTTTTACAACTGATAATAGGCGGCTCCCTGCAGTGGAGGGCATGAACGTTAGGGAAGCCTTATTCTGCTGGAACCCTCGAGAGGCGTCATATACCATGGCGCAGATAATGCGTTGGCTCGGCACGCTCCTCGTTCCCGGGTCGGATGCCATTCAAAAGCCCCGTTCTGCCTTGTGTGGTTGCAGTGTAAACTATTCAATGCCTTCACAACTCAAGCGCAAACCTCAAGCGAGCAGTGACGTAGCACCATTAGAGCTCGAAATGTCCAAGTTGAAGGATAAAATCCTTTTTCCTTCTGAAGTGGGACTTGCACGA